CCCCGGGGGGGGGGGGCGTGCAGGAGGCTGCTGATCACTGATAACTCTCTCATCATTGATGTTTCTATCCCTCTCCCTCCCTTTCCCTTCCTCTTTCTAAAATCAATAAAGATATATATATATATATTTTTAAACATTTTGGACTAATGCCTCCCAATGTCACCCCAATAAATTCAATTAAAATAAAAGTAAATATAAATGCATTTTAAAAACCACCAAGTAGGTTTTCTCCTCTGCATCTTGTAAGATGAAAGTTGTTCTAGTTATAAGACTATCATCTCACATGAAGAGCTCACAGTTGGGCAAGATATTTGAGTACAACCTTCACTGTAAGAGCAATGTAGCAGAAAGTGCAATTCTAGAAGGAATGAGTGAACCAGGCATGCACTATTCTGCTTTAACCTTCTAAATACCCAACACACATACTGGTTGCACTTTCCACTGCTCTCTGACGAGTGTACAGAATTTCCAAATTGACTCTCTCAGTAGCCAAATTATAAATTTTTTTAAAAGACCCAAAAATATAAACACCTTTTTTGTTGTTGTTTAGTTCGGGGAAAAAAACTGTCACCAAAATTGTGACATTGCGTTGTTCTCTTTTCAACATTCCCATAGCAGAATGGAAAGCTCTTCAGTGTAATGGTTGCTATATATAATATGCAGCAAATGTTACCAACAGAACTACCTCTCCTTCTTAAGATCCTGATGAAGCAATTGTGCCTTCCTTTAGGGACGTCACAAGGTGTTCAACCTAATAAGTTTATTTCAAATGAGCCACCAGAACGAGTGAAACTCTACAGTTCTGCCTTTTGACTGTAATATTTATAAATCTTTCTCATTACTAAGACTCCGTCCCCTCCCACTCAACACGGACACACAGGCCAATCCAAAGAATTCTGAGCTTACAGAGCAAGTAGAAATCGCCCCATAAGAAGCATAAGCCCATAGATCAGGGCAGCAATGGGAGTTCCTGCTAGTTTAATGCATTTATAGTAATGACATCTTCTTGATGTACTTTAAGATGCAATTTTCAGCTCCTTAAATTAGCTGGTGTGCAGCATGGTTTCTAACAGCCACCAACGGGTTATTCTTCAATGACTATGACAGTGACAGCTCTTTCCACCATGGAGATCATCTGCAGTAATCTCACAACTGAATCAAACTCTGGAAATATTTTCACTGGCGACCACAACCACCAAGTTAAAGGTCAAGAAGAGGAGGTGACATGTCTAGAACATGAAAGTGAAGCTGTAGGTGTACCTGTGTCCCAGGTGTGGCTCCATCCCAGGATGCTAGGTGGGAGGCCACTGTCCTGACAACATGCACTTCTTGTTCCCTAGACAAAAATCAACACATCAGTTTCAAATAACTATGCAACTGGGCAGCTCTCTATATCACGTAACTATGAGCATCTCGGTCCCTGAAAGAGTTAATTCACCACGTGGGCAAGCAGCCTTGCCTTACGTAAGGAGCCCTAAAGGATCTGGGCTAAGGCAAATGAAGTCGGTGCGAGGTAATAATTCAAAACAGTAAACAGCGATATCCCTTTCTCTGCGCTTAGGGAACGCTGCATGATTGATCGTAGTTGCTGAGCCAACCTTCCTGAGGATGCTCTGCTAGGATGGATATTAGAAACAGTGAGGGACACCTGGGCGTAATGGAAGGGCAGAGGGGTGGAAGGGCATAACTGGAAAATCCCATTAGGGAAAAGCTGTTCCCAGACCCCCGATTCCCGGAAAGGGCCCCTATAGCATGAAAACTCAGTAAATGAGAGATTAGACTTAACTAAACAGGCACGGGGGGGGGGGGCTATCTTACCTATCTCTAGTAATTCATCATTAGAACATGGACCCTGCTTCTATTTCCTAAGTAAAGAATGCACTGTTGACTTTATGAAATGCTACCAGAAAGTGAGATAATAAATCACCCGTAATTGCTACCCTAGGAAGCATCTGTAATTATGGTTAAGGATCAATCTGCTTCCTGGAAAAGCATGTGACCATTTAAGTAGAGGTTCTTGCATTGAAAAGATACATGGATTTGCTACTAATGACCATGGGGCCACTTACATTTTCACAAAATTCCTCATTCCAACCAAAAATCAACACGGGATTTTGAATCCATTTTAATAACCTCCTGTAAGTGTCAGACGACAGAGAGCAGAGCTGGTTGACATGTGTCAATGACACTCAGGAGCCCGTGGCTGCTTTTCGCAGGAGCTCAAAGAGAAGATGGACGAGCTCCTGCCCCTGATCCCTGTCCTGGAACAGTACAAGACGGACGCCCGGCTCATCACCCAGTTCAAGGAGGAGATCCGGAACCTGTCCGCGGTGCTCACTGGGATCCAGGAAGAGATTGGTGCCTACGATTATGAGGAGCTGCACCAGAGGGTGCTCAGCCTGGAGACCAGACTCCGCGACTGCATGAAAAAGCTCAGTGAGTAGAACACAGCATTTGTCTAATTGTGTTCTTAAGTCACTTCCATGAAAACTGCATTTTTACATTTTGCAAGTGGTCATAAATGCCTCATTCTGGGGAAGTCAGGGCCAGCTTCCTAAGTATGGAGTGAGTGTTCCTGACGGCCTGAGCGCACCTGGGGACTGAGTGGTATGTGACTAACAGCTGCCCAATTTTCAGATCACCCTGTTACATCTGAAATAAGCAGTCTGACAAACACAGCCAATTCTATTGGCTTCACTAACAGGCATGAGTTTTACTACAGAGAGCTTGTGATGGTTAATCATTGCTCGGCCAGGGGGGAGGGGAGGCATTTCTGGCGGTGGAGAAAGTCAGAGACGGTGGGAAAGGAAGTTGCCCTGGGGCAAAATATGAACCAGCGATGTTTCAAGCAAACCAGAGCAACTCCCCTCCTATGAGGAGCTGCCAACAGCCGCTCTGGTCCACTTGACAAATCAAAAGGAGGCCCCTACCCAAGTAGGTATCTATGCACTGCTGTGTAAGGGGCCAAACCCACATCACATGCTGGGTCCCTTACAATGCAGAGAAAGTGTCCAGGTAAAGACAGGTAGCCTTACTACCATGAAGTAAGGGGTCCCTGAAAAATGAATCTTCAGATTTTCCCATAAGAAAAGTGTTATTCAAATGTGAAAGGCTGTGTCTGATAAGGGATATATACATAATATACATTTCATATGTACATATGAAAACACAAACATATACCTTGTTCTTAATTCTCACCTGAAGATATTTTTTCCATTGATTTTTAGGGACAGTGGAAGGAAGGGGGAGAGGGAGAGGGAGAGGGAGAGGGAGAGGGAGAGAGAGAGAGAGAGAGAGAGAGAGAGAGAGAAATATCAATCTGAGAGAAACACATCAATTAGTTGCCTCCCGCACACACCCTGACCAGGACTGGGGATCAAACCTGCAACCCAGGCACATCCCCTTGACTGGGAATTGAACCCACAGCCCTTCGGTGCATGGGCCAATGCTCCAACCACTTGGCCACACTGGCCAGGGCCACAAACATAATTTTGAGTGTGGCGCTGTTATAGTCTGATGAACATCTTACTTAGTATTTACATTCCCTGGGAACTGGTACAGATTAAACCAGATCATATCTGTGAACCCTTTTAACCCCACACCTAGTATTATCTCATAGGTAAGTGCTCAAATATCAAAACATCAGAACACATGGACTCAGAGAAGCGATGTTAATCAACACGACAAGGACCATTAGCAGGAAATGTGGGGGAAGGTGTATCAGAGGGTCTAAAACCCAGTCGCTGTGCTGCTCAGATCTGACGTGGGATGCTGGACAATCACGGCCTCAACAATATAGTCCCAGGAGCAAGGCTCACTCATCAATGGCACCTCATCAGTCTCCACAAAAGCCTCTCTACACTCACAACCAATCAGTAGACAGCAGACATGAATTGAGGAGAGAAAATAAAATTTTCTTTGCAACTGTGATGAATGCATTTCCACTCACCTTTTTGGTGGATTAGCTTTTAGGGAAAATGTCACAGTGGATACCACTTGAATTTTAAGATAACTAAAAAAACAAAGGAGACTCCTCGCCTTAGAGGTCTTGGTGACTCCCACATAGTAAAGAAGGAGCTGAAGGAATCACGAGTCATGGAGACAATGAGAGCAAGAGCACCACTCAGCTTATTTCTACTAGAGAATTAACGTTTGGGGGAAAATAGAAATTTAAAAAAAAAAAAAAATGCTTCATTAGCAATGCACCCTACTGGCCTGAATGAAGTATAGTTAATGCTCTTTCCTAAATGCTTAATTTTCTCCTAGGAGAGACCAAATAGAACAAAGTCCCCTGTGCTTAATTAAATCATACCATATTCCCAGGCATGCAAACTATAATTACATGCATGTGAGAATTTAACTGAGAAAGCACAGTTAAAGCTCTAGCAACCCCCTGAGATCACCGATAGATATTTAATGCTGATTATAATCAGGCTGCCAGCCTTCCAGTCCTCCACCCCCTGCCTCTTGTTAGTTCTGTCTCAGGGCAATGGTTTGGTGCCACCTTGTGAAGGTCACAGTGGTCTTTCTATTAACACAGTGTTTGGAGGCTTCAGGTTGAACAGGAGTTATCAGTAGCATTCAAAACTCAAGGTCCTGTCTTGGCCGGGTAGTTCATTTGGTTAGAGCATCGCCCCAATACACCAAGGTTGCAGGTTCAGTCTCCGGTCAGGACACATACAAGAACCAGCCAATGAATGGACAAATACGTGGAAGAACAAACCAATGTTTCTGTTTTTCTCTCTTCCTTCCTCTCTCTCTAAAATCACTAAAAGTTAAAAAAAACAAAAATTAAAAAAAAAAAACCCTCAAGGTCCCAAGTGATGACACTTGGGTTGTTGACTTTACCATGGTCATGCCAAATTAGTTTCAAAGGGGGAAACAAAATGTCTATGTGGCAATAGTTCTGTTTGCACATTCAACAAACATTTCATGAGTCCCTGCGTGTGCTGGCACTTGGCCATGTACTGGGGAGACATGTGGAGCAGCAGACAGGGTCCCTCCACTGTCAGGGGTTAGCATGTTGGTGGGGACAGCAAGCGCATAACAGAGAAGTGTAGCAGTGTTGACAGCCTGCTGCTTCGCAGGCACCATGCCAGCTCTTTTCCATGTGGTCGTTTTAATCGCACTGAGAATGCTGGGTTAGGCCTTATTATGCAATTGATTGGAGACAGATTGCTCAGCTTAAACTCATTTGCCAGAGGGGCGTGTTGGAGGCAACAACTCTAAACCCAGGTCCTTCTGCGTTCAAAGACAGAGACGTGTTTCCCACACACAAAGTCTTTTCCTGGGTACAAACAGTAACAGAGAAACTCCCTGGACACCTCAACACGTTTAATTCAGTAAACAGAACCCAGCTGCTGTAGAAAGAAGCCAGAGTACATTTGGATCCTCACCTCCACCGCCCGAATCCACAGCATCCCTCACCATCTCTCAGCTGGGAGGGCCTCCCGAGCACTCCCCTTACCTGAAGTCACCTCACCCACACACACACACACACGCTGGGTATTTAGACTAATCATTCCAAATGCAAACCTAACCATATTTCACCCGCACTGAAGTGATTTTCCTTTAAAATTCAATCCATGCAGGTTTGCATGGTTTGTCTTGGTGATGTGGATTCTGCCTGACTCTCCGGCCCTTTTCTCTCAACTTCTCACCACACACTCCCTCTCGCTCCAGCCACTCTCATCTCCCAGTTCCTCCAAGGTGTAGACTCTTTAGTCACCTCCTGGACATGGAACTCCCTCACCTCCTTCATGGACACTCTTCCTCCCCATCTCACCCACCCAAACTCTAACGGGTTTTCATGTTACAGACCAGAGACCAACTTTTCTACAGACCTTCTCTGATTGCTCTCTAACATGGAGGGACATACCCTTGCGTGGTCTCCTGAAAACTGAAAATGAGAATTTGCTTTCTTTTTTAAAATCTGTACCCCATTATGAGTACACTGTCCTTGCTCTGAGAGGTCAGGGATCACCTGTGTCTGGCTCCAGCTAAATCTCTGTAGATTGTCATAAAACATCCAAAACATAACAGGTGAAAATCTATGTCTACAGAGTCTTTGAGACTCTATAGTCTCAAGTACTATTTTTAAATTAAAAAAGCTTTATATTGCTTTCAAGAAATAAATCAGTGTATGTCAAATATAAAAATTCTATATTTTTTACAAAACCAAAAATTGGGGGAGATGAAGATAACAAAAGGAGCGCCTCTTTTCTCCTTTCCGTGGCTTTGCTTTTGTTGCTATCCGCACTTTCGGCAGGGCCGGTGCTACAGTACTTCATTCCACAACACCTGATACCTGGCCCTCCTTAGCACGTGACGCAAGAAACACCGAAAATCTCAGTGAAAACCAGATTAACGGAAAAGTCAGACTGTGCGCCTGGAGCGGAGCGAAGTAAGATTTAACTTGCAAATGTAGTAGGGAAAACTGACAACAACCCCCTGCAAATTAAATTCAGAGTACCTGACTTTGGGTGGTGAGCACACAATGCACTATACAGATCAGGTGTCGTAGGACTGTACGCTTAAAACCTATATAATCTTACTAGCCAATGCCACCCCAATACATTTAATTAAAAATAAAATTAAAAATGATCTGCAAATGAGCTGTTTATCAAAGACAGTTCTACTCTCCCTGAAATTCTAGAGTGCAAAGCAGAATACGGTTTCTCCAGTGCCCACTCACCCTGGAAGCCTAGTCATTTCAGCACATTTTGGGGTTATGGCATATTTCACTATAAATTTATTTATAGTTGATCTTTCTTTATACCCTACATTTTCCTAGATTACCACTAAATTACAAGCCTCTTAATGATACAAAGCCTGTGTTTTCAGAGGCAAGCATAAATCACCAAATTATTTGGGGTTTCATAGTACAATTCTGCTCCATTCAGTTTGGATACTAAATAGGGTTTGCCTTAAAAATATGTTCATGGTATAAGCTCGATCCCAGAAAAAGTTGAGGCGGTTGTTAAAATAAAACGGGGGTAAAGTTGTGTTAATTGTGGAAAACAGATGTATTTGGACACACATTATTCTTGGTCCCATTTGCCACACACCCACTGAAAACTCATTCTAGTGCCCTGTCCAGTATGGCAACTATTATGTTACCCTTCTCGCCACCCTTCCCTTGGCACTCCAGTGGGTAGGATTAGACATGAAAATAAAAGGTTAAATAGTAGAAACAGCTTTTACTATCAAATGTAGGGTGGAGGTAAACTTATTTTAAGTAGCTTCAATAGACAGACTTTAAATATCAGATATCTACTTCTTGCTACATGGATTCTCCAATGGCCATAAGTAAAAAGAAATTACACTGTCATAAAAATATTCACTATTCCATTTAATTTACTTATACAGGCATAGCCTAGGATTCAAATTCAGAAGCTGTTAGCCCAGGACCTTACAAAGTACAATGATCTATTAAAGAAATAAACAAAAGAGAAGACGGGAGTTTTTTATGCTTTGTTGATTCAAACAACTGACCTTCCTGCTGAATTCCAAATGACACCTCTTCCTGAGCTATGGATGGGTAACCATAGGTTCTGACTGATGTTACAAAGTCCAACGTCTGGAAGGCATCAGGGAAACAACATGGTCACGTACTTCAGCTACCTATTCAGTATATTTTCTGAATATATAGAACCAGACACACGCAATATATTATAAAATGCTAACATGTACGCGTGTCTCGCTGCCGAGCGGAGCGGAGCAGAGCAGGAGGAAACCAATGAGGCCAATCTCTCTGCCTCTTCCTCTGCCATCCACTTCTGCGGGAACATTTGTCTCCCAGGCGTTTGGGAAAATTATCCTTCCTGTCTGGCTCCGTTTGTCTTCATGGAAAGTGAGAGTGAAGTGAGAAGGATAATTATTTCTTGGAAAGAAAGCTAGTGTGGGGGCACTAAGACACAGAAATGACTATGTTTACAATTTCTGCATTGCAGCAAAACCTGAGAATAACAGTGTTTATGTAACAGAGATCCACAAAATCATAACTACAAAAACAGCCAGCTTTTATAAATTCCCACAACCTTAATTTTACTAATTTCATTTGACGAGATGAATTTTAGCTTTGAAATTCAGTAACTATTTGTACAAGAAACTTCTTTTGGGGATGAAATCAGCAGCGAGAGGCCTTTCTGTTTTCTGCTTCCTGAGAGGAAGAGTGGGTGGTAATAATGACGGAGATCTTGGGGTGTGTGTGTGTGTGTGGTGTATGTGGTGCATGTGTGTGTAACTACAACCACAAATACCACCTTCTTCCCATCAGCACATAAAAGTTTGTTGATCCCCTATCCATTCAATGTTCTCTTAGATTAACAAGATGTCAAGCTTCAGACTGTCCGTCTTAATAGATGAGGAAACCACCCCCGAGAATCACTGCACAATCCAATATTGTATGATGAGTTAATGTGGTGGCTTAGACTCGAAACCAGCCCTCCCAACACCCACCTGAGCATTCTAATCTGGACCGAATGCACTCCACAGGGAAATACTTCCTGGGAAATTTCCTGGGAAACTGTGGAGTTACTTATTTAATTTCTCCTTTATGTCATCAGTTTCTCCCTCTGTTAGATTATCCCTAAAGGCAAACAGTCTTTTCTTAAACAATGAGATCAGCACAACGGTTAAATTTTGCCAATTTTACTGATTCACTAGATTATAGAGCTAAGCTTCCTTCACACAGAGAAGCGCCATTCAGATACATATGAAGGACCAGATCAGCGAGACCTAGTAAGAAATGTAAGTGCATTAAACGTGTCCTCTCTAGACCCTCACGTTTATTTTTTCTAGGTAACGGAACATGCAAGATCCGTGGAACTTGCTTGTTCTTTCTGTGTTTGACAGTTTATGTGCATGTTCTGTAGATGAGCAGGGTAAAGGCGGCTTACAATGAAATAAAATTCAAGTTATCCAAGGAGGCTGTCTCAGGGGAAAAGAGATGCTCTTCAATATCACAGGACTCAGGGCTGGCCTTCCGAATTCTTTAACCACCCACCGGTACTCGCTGTGCTCAATGCAACACCCTTTTCTTCTCTGAAACACCTTCTTCACCTAACTTCCCTGCCAGCTGAGTCAGAAAGGAGAAGGCAGGGAGGGAGGGAGGGAGGGAGGCTAAGGATGGGCATAAGCAACCGTCTATTGAGAAGCTACAGTACATACACCTATTTTACCTCCCTGTTCCTATATCACCCAGCACCTAAGCATAGTCCTGGTACATGAAAGCTTCTCAGCAAGTGATTGTTCAATGAATAAATCACTTTATATTTAAGTAGTAACTGGTTTCACCCACTAATCTATTTCAGAGAAAATGCCCATTGCTACAAGGAGAAAGCAGTCATTTTCAGTTTAGGTGTCAGAAGCTTTTAACCAACCTCTGGGATAATTTCTGTCTCAGTTCCTGGTCTAAACAGTCCGAGGCTTGACAGCTCCACTCTGCCATATGGACATAACACTGGGTTCCATCCAAACACCACGGAAGCCAGGACACCCACACTACACCATGTGTTGTCACTTTTTAGAAATGTTGATTACGTGAGACTCATGGCAAAGATAACCGCCAAAGATAATTCTTAAGCAGATGTTAACTAACCCCTGCAACTCAACTCCCGTTCAAGTTATGTCTACATGAAATGAATCCAGAAGACCATTTAAACCCAGAAAACGAACCAACATCTGAAATGTGCACCCACATGAGGGAAAATAGGAGCTGTGTGTCTTCCAGCTTTGCCCGAACCATGCTTCATTCTTCATACAGGAGATGTACCAATAGCAAAGGGGCCAGTTTTGCTGAAAGGCAGGTTCAAACCCTCACTCTGAGGTTTAATCATACAGCTTCACCATCTGAAATGTTAAGTCCAACACCAAAAAGGGCAAAATCTCTATTCACTGTCAGCATAAAGACCACCTGAAGTCACCGTAATTTCTTCCTGGTCATGTGCCCATTTCGTCATTTCGTCTGGGCATGAAGTTTCGTGGGGACAAACATTTCATTATGTTTATGTTTCCTCTACAGGACATATTGATCTAGTCCCAGGACAAACTTACACTGGCCTCTGAGATTCCACGTATCTTTTGTTGCTTTGTTCAAATAAGCATTGCCCATGGTCACCTGGCGTGTCTATGTTTCTCTACTTCCAGCATGCGGCAAACTGATGAAGATCACGGGCCCAGTTACAGTCAAGACATCGGGAACCCGGTTTGGTGCCTGGATGACCGACCCTCTCGCATCCGAAAAAAACAACAGAGTATGTCGCTCCCACCAACACCTTTGCTTAGAAGTGTGTTTTATTTATGTCTTTTGTCTACTGGACTATTCATTTCCTTTGAGGACAGTTTGAACTTGAAAACTTTTACATCACTGCAAATATTTTTAGTTTGATAATATTAACATAGTTATAGATATACAGCAACTTATGTCAAATGTTCCATTCTGAATTCACCAATACAGTGAGTCTAATTTTTATTTGTTTTAGTCTAGTTTTACACTTTAAAGGGCCAACTACAAGAATATAAAATTCTCTATCTAGTTCTACTAAAATCTGTTCCTTAATATGAAAAAAAAGTACTAAATAAGTAAAAAGCTCAAGAGCTAACCAATTCACAAAACAAGCTGAAATATTCCCGGCATCTAGAGGTAATTTTAGAGAAAACAGCACTGAAGCTTGGGGGGGGTGGAGGGGGAGCAGGTATTTTCATAAATTGGCAACACCTGTATTATGTAAATCACTATGCTGGAAACTTACCATAGCTCTGTTTATGTTCTACTGCAGAACTCACCAGACATCCAAATTCTCAAGGGTTACTTACATCCCAATGAGATTAGCAGCTAGGTTAGTAAAATGGTTGCATTCAAAGGTAGTTATACCTTTAAGCTGGTCCAGTGAGTAAGGGTTAGTTACCAGGAGGTTCTGTGTTATTCATAAAGGGGAAATATGTCAAATGGTGTTAAGTTATAACTTACATATTTTTTCACAGCAAGTTACAGAATAAATAAATTAGCTGATGATAGTATTTTTGCAGTTACTGATTGAACTGGTTGACCAGGCACCTAAACAAAGTGATGTGATTTGTACCAACGCGTGTCTGGGTCACTCAGTCCATAGGCACTGAATGGTAAAAAAAAAAAGACAAAAAGCGAATCAACTTCAAGGCAGTCAACTCAGTTGTCTCCTTTCCACACAGACCATGCCACCATTTCTGCAAAGGCCTGCTGTACCATCAGTCATAGATACTGTGGTCTCCAGAGCCTGAGAGCAGTGCTTCCAATACATGTTGACCCTCACTGTCTTTATTTTGGACTCCTCAGAAAAGTACAGAATTCACTTACTCCATTTATTTTATTTTTTTCCCATCTCCCCAGGTCTGGTACATGGACAGTTACACTAACAACAAAATCGTCCGTGAGTACAAGTCGATCGCAGACTTTGTCAGTGGGGCTGAGTCGAGGACATACAACCTCCCCTTCAAGTGGGCCGGCACCAACCACGTGGTCTATAATGGCTCCCTCTACTTTAACAAGTACCAGAGCAACATCGTCATCAAGTACAGCTTTGACCTGGGCCGCGTGCTGGCCCAGCGCAGCCTGGAGTACGCGGGCTTCCAGAACGTCTACCCCTACACCTGGGGGGGGTTCTCAGATATCGATCTTATGGCCGACGAGATCGGCCTGTGGGCCGTGTATGCCACCAACCAGAACGCGGGCAACATCGTCATCAGCCAGCTGAACCAGGACACGCTGGAGGTAGTGAAGAGCTGGAACACCGGCTACCCCAAGAGGAGCGCCGGGGAGTCCTTCATGATCTGCGGGACGCTCTATGTCACCAACTCCCACCTAACCGGAGCCAAGGTATACTACTCCTACTCCACCAAGACCTCCACCTACGAGTACACAGACATCCCCTTCCACAACCAGTACTTCCACATATCTATGCTCGACTACAACGCCAGGGATAGAGCTCTTTATGCCTGGAACAACGGTCACCAGGTCCTGTTCAATGTCACCCTCTTCCACATCATCAAGACCGAAGATGACACATAAGCAGATGTCATTTCTTTTCACTGATCTAAATGGCGTCATTGGTGATCAACTTGATAGGACCCCTTTTGTTTTGTTTTTTCTTTATTAGAATGTTCCACCATTTCTCCAAAGCATTCTGTTATAATGTTGGTGTTTCAAAAAAAAAACCACACACAAAAAAAAAGCAGCGGAGCCTGTCTAAATATTAAACCTGTGGGAGACACATCTGAAATCCTAAATTTACAAGGCCTATCGTGTCCCTGTCGTGAAAAGCACTAAAAAGAGCTTGAGTGGCAAAGTCATACTTCTGCAAAAGATTGATGGTCTGCCTTGTACCAGATAGAGTCAGAGACAAATGGTCACTTACATGCACGAATGTCGGGGTTTTTTTAAACTCTGCCACTTTTGACTGTAGCTCCACATCAGGAAACATTCTGGTAGGAATCAGGAAAAAAAAAAGAAAGAAAAAAAGAAAAAGCACTTTCTCGCCATTCATTTCTAATGAAGAGGCGAGGGTTTTATTTCCACGGAGAAGGACCAGAGTCATTCGCTGCTCCTCAGTCCTCCGACCCGGTGCTGTGCAGCCATTTTTAAATCTCTTGCTAGCGTTTTACTGGCGATGTGTCTTTCTACCATTGTAACCACCATTGTGCAATTCTATCTCTTCACTTCTGTGAGAGTAAGTGATATTTTTTTATAAAACACACTGAAGTTCAGTCTCAGTAATCATCATGGGCCCCTTGTCAAGTGTGGTCAAGAAGGAAGTATCTCCTCGGCTTACCCCTTTACATCGTATGTAAATTAAAAAGAAAATCAGACCAGGCCCCTTCCACCAAGTCTTTATTTCACCCCGTTTCCTGGACCACTGACACGGAATGCTCCACAGACTCAGTAGGGATGAGCTGCTCTGTTCACACTACTGAAAGCAACCCTTAGTCACAAAACTTGGATCTGAGTGGACTCTGCTCGTTTGATACGACCAAACAAATTTTGTTCTTTGTAATTAAATATATCAGTGATTTAACTTATACTTCACACACAACTTGCAATAATGTAACCCCCGTGTCAGCCCTCGAAAAGTACATGAAGCACATATAAAAAACTCTTTAAAAAATGTCTGTAATATCATCTAGATTTACATTGTAAACTCGGGAGAATTATTGGCAAGACTTGTATAAAAAGGAATGCTGGGAAGACTGGGGAGTTGTCTGTGTCATTTAAATGGAAGTCCATTTGGAAAGCAGCCCCTGGTTACACCAGTTCACTGTATGTGCGGAAACAATGTAACCAAAAAGGACAGCTTTAATAGTATTTTATGTTAATAACTCCAAAAACATATAATCAATATATAGCAAACACCTCACTGAGTTTGGATGGACTTCCCATGTATTAAAAATACTTAACACAGTTTTACAGAAACTAGTATGGGTTGGTTTTTGTAATTTAAAAAGTATAGAATAAATAAGATATAACTTAAATGGTTGTAAATGTTTAGTTTCACACATACATCCTATTGTAATTTCCTTTGTAAAGTAAGGATGTAACCATTCAGATGAAGCATTGTGTAAGGAAATGCTAATGCTTAAGAGTAATTCATTTCCATTGTCACCAGTAAGACATCATTCTCTAATAGCTCATTATCAAAAATGTAGGGTTAAAGAACCCAATCTTGAAAGTGTCCAAGTTTAGCAAAGATGTGTCTGTCTTTCTCTCTCTCTCTCTATCTCCCAGGTCCTTCTGCAATGTTCTTTCTTCTCTTTGAAAACATTTATCTAAGTTCTCCTCTGCTTTTGAGCATTAAAAGGTCCAGGGGATTCACTTGTCACTATACACATGCCACAAAAGTAATCAGCCAATACTTTGTGTATCAAGAGTTCGTATGAAGAAAAGAAAGTCACCTACAGAAATGGATGCATTTTTAAGTAGAGGGCCTCTAATGCACAGCTGGATCTTCATTTTTTAAATGGTGTACTATGGTGTCACGTACATTCACAGCCTGGACTGCCACAGCTCTGTGAGAGTGCAGCTTATAGAGCACTCTCTTGTCC